ATATATATATATATATATACGTGTACATATGTAAGAAAAGGCCCCTATTATGAGATACCGAATTTATTTTGGGTAAATGCTAGAAGTCTACAGAAAATTAAAAAAATAATAGGTCATTTTGAAGGGAATTTAATAAGCTTTAAAATAACATTATATGAAATTTTATTCAAATTCCATTTTTTTTTAAATTAAAGAAATGTAAAAAGTGAGCAAATCACAAATTTAAAAAATTGTATAATGAATGTTAATTCAACATCTTAACACTCGGAACTGTAAAGCGCTTCGTATTTAAAGTTTGAATATTTAAAAAATTGTGCTCCTAATATGAGATGCCCCGAGAAATCGATAGCAAAATGCAAAGTATATCAGTATTGCTATTAAAAAACTTTATTTAATGTTTCTAAAATACAAACAAACACAGCCAGCGCGCGCGAAAAATGAGCATGCGATAGATTATATCCAGAACTGGTCTTCGGGTAGTTGGAATCAAGCATCGCAGAAATAGGCACTCGATGTTTATTCCAGTTGTCTTTTTTATTACTGTACAATAATATTTATATTTTAGCAACAATTTTCACTATAATATAGGAGCATGGATTATTTCATATTAGAAATATCCTGGATATCTTATACTACCATTTCCACGTCTTATGGTTTTACGATCATCAAATCTAACTTCTATAATTAAACAATTCAACATATCCCGTATTTTTCTATTAATACAACCTTACTCTATCACTACATGAAGAATTTATTGTCAAATAATTATTTTTTATTAAATAATAAACAAAGTTTAAAGGCTCATCTCAATGAAACTTGAAGACATCCAAATTCTAAAATCTTGTTTTACAATGATACAGGCATGATAATACAGGCATCTAATAATGAATTTTCTACTGAATAGTTTACAATCCAAGAGCAATAAATTCATAGTGGAACCAATAGATAGCGTTTATTAGTTTAGCAGAAACGCCGCTATCTCATATTAGACGCTTATCTCATAATAGGGGGCTTTCCTGTAAATGTCTCAATATATGTTGACTTAAATGACATTACACCATGCCATTTTTTCATAGCGATAGTTTGCTATAGTAATAAGCGTTCAACAGCGTCACGTATTTCGTACAATATATCCTATCTTTGGATGGCTTTACGATATTACAGAGAAATAACCGTGAAACGTCTCGAAATATTGCAGCATTTTGGCAATTTCTCGACGCCGGTCTCACATTTTGTCACCTCTCAGTCCTTAAAGGCTTACCGTATTTTCATCGTGTTGGCCGATAACCTGACTCTTAACCGAAATTACTCTAAGAATCGCGAAATTTCTTGAAAAATTTTCTGTGACTCTGTCGACATGAAATTTAAACGTATACTTGATCAATCATGATTGTGTTTGTTTGATTTATTTTGTCCATTTGGCTATTTATTTTGTGGCACTATATTTAATAATTTTTTGAAAATGTGATTTATGAGAGTTTAAATATTTAAAAGTAATTTTTTTTATATACACACACATATACACATACTTGCATATGTTTCTTATTTTATTCTTATAATATTACGCGCACGTGTAAACATAGAAATTAATGTGGTTTTATAATTTAGCTAATCATTAAATATAAAAATTTATTTATTTTTTTTTTGTTATTATCAGTAATAAGAATAACGTTTTATTTTATCGAAAAAATATGAATAGTTTCTGGAAATAATGTGCTTAGTTTGACAACGTCGTTCACTCCAATGAATCATACTATTTGCATTATTTATCGTTATTAACGCACGATTGACGATTAATACGATAATTACGAATATGACATTATTTGCTATTAATGTTATCATTACTATGTAATTGCGTA